TATATATATATATATATATATATATATATATATACAGTCAAGTTGAACAGGAAAACTCACTTTCGTGTTAGTTTCTTAAAATTTTTGAAAATGATGACCTAACTATTCTGTGAGTAACAAACCTGTTGATTGGAAAATGAAACGCAAGAAACACACATTAAAAAACAAATGGAATCTACCCCAGATTGCTCTATGGACAAATAGTTAAAATAGTGTTAAAATCTTAGACGTGAATTTATATTTCTTTTTTATTTTCAATAGTTTAACAAATAACAACTTTGATAAAAAGGCACGTCTGATGATGGGTATATTTATTTATGTTTGCTTGTATGAATAGCAAAATCCAAGGCCTGAGTCATGGGACTTTTGCCTTCCTAGCTTTCATCCCTTTACCTCACTCTCAAACTTATCCTCCGTCTCTAGCTTTATGGTCTCGACCGCCCTCTCCACTGTGCGTTTTCATAACATACTCTTCATCTCTTCTAAATCAAAACTTAGGTACGCCTCTATTTTACTTATTCTTCTTCTTCGATTCATCAAGGTTAGATAGTATCCAGTTTAATGAGGTATGAGTAATTATTTTTGCGATATTTTTCAGGGAATTGTTGTTGTGATGGGAATATATAAAGAAGATCTAGAAAGATACGAGGCAGGCCAGCTGGAATCAGAGAAAAGAGTGAAGACATGTATAGCTTGTTTGTGGTCATTGGTGGTAATCATGACAGGAGGATTGATGTTAGGGTTTTGGGAGTATGAATACCATCCAACAAATAGTCAGCTGTGGATGGTGCCCTTTGGTCTAATTTTCTTACTTACTCCGGCCATTATTTGGTTTGCTGTTATATTTTCTGAGTTCTGCAACTCTAAGAACAGACACGTCGTCCCTGCTTCAAGTTCGTCAGGTGACTGACTCAGTTCATGATCTGGAGACAGCATGAGTTACCATGTGATATTACTGCTTCTGTAAGCCTTGTTTCAAAATCCTAGTGTTACAATTTCCAATCGTTCCTTGGTTTTAATTTGAGATGTTCTTCATTAATTACCGAACTAAAATGATTGGAATGGGCACTTTAATAGTTTTGATTAGCTTAGCTGGTGTATGTGTTTGTTAAGTAGGTTTTATTTTGCTGGATAGGGTTAGGGTGCTTAATTGAATAAAAGACAGCTAATAAGTCTTTAAACAACAATTGGTTGTAATTGAAAATTAGAAAGCATGCGGGTGATATTAACTTTTAATAGTAAATGACGCAGGAAAGATCTGTAGACTTTTGGAGTTTGCCTTCCCCGGCTCCTGATTTCCCAGTACTTAACTCGCCCGATTCATCACTAGAACACATCCAATGGTCTTTAAGATTTTACCTACCGTCAACTGTATTCCTATAACGTGGCTTTTTCTTCGCGCAACACCTGGTGTAGGGGAGAGAGAGCCAGAAAGCGACACTTCATTGGCCAGCAAGCTCTTTAGACTTTAGTGATGTACAGATGGTCAACTATTTATATGATTATAATTATATCCTATAATTTGCGGCAACAAGCACATGAAACCCTTTTATTAAAACAGGATATCATTTATGGGGCCCGTTGCCATATACATATAGCATAGGCTGGTTTAACTTCATTTAAAATTAAATTTTGAGAAATGCTGAGAACAAATGCTAATAATGTTATTTCAGTCTCTCCAACATGGTATTGAATATAGGCAACTACCATAATGTAATACTATTGGGCATGTTTGGCTTATTATTTTTATCTATATTCTCAATCCTATTCTCCAAATAATGTTTGGCACATTATTCCAGAAATATTATCCTATTTTTTTAATTACATTTAGATCCCATAAGGTTATTAATTTCATCAAATACACCTTGAAAAAAGTTTAAAAATTATCAAAAACACCCCTGCGACCCATACTTGCCAGATTCCAGCAACCACCGTCGATGGTAACCAGAATCTGTACAACGGCTTATCTACAGACCAGAAATGGCCGAAAGTTCACCGATCTGGCCGTGAACGACGGCCAAATCTTGGCCATCGTTGACCGAAAACGACGGCCAAAGATGGCCGTCGTTTTGGCCTTTTCCGGCCATCGCGGCCACAACAGGTCGTAGATCTAACATTTTCCGGCCAGATCCATGGTAGATCTGGTTGGAAAATGCCATAACAACACGTTACGACACAGATCTGACCGGTCTGTGTCGTTAGACGATTTTCTGGCCAGACTCTGGCTGTAGTGGCCGGAATCTGGCACTGCAGGTAGTGGGGGTGTTTTTATCATTTTATATATTAGGGTATTTAATTAAATTAGCAAACCTATGGGCTTTTTCATAAATTTTTAAATTTTATCTCGTAATACTCCTCTATCCAACTATTCAATATTATTCCCAATATCATATCCAAAATAATAAACCAAACGCACCCATTAATATTTTGTTTTCTTAATTAATAAAATATATTAAACACTTTAACAATAAATTTAAGGCAACAAGTATTATAGTAAGTTAGATAAAGAACAAACATCTGCTAAAACTACATAAGATTACTCTACAAGGGTGACTGTATTAATATAAAAGATTATATAATATTAAAAAATTCAAATATTTTCAATCAAATGAATAAAGAAAAATTGAATACCTCATCACAATATGAGATCGCATAACACCATACAAGAATTACTTTAAACAAGCGTACAGAGATGTGAGACTGTCTCATTTTTTCACTTAAAACAAGACCATTAGGAATGCATGCTAAAATTATATTCTCCATTCCAAAAGAGGGATAAAAAATTTATCTAGTGCCCCGCCGTTATAATGCTATCTGGTACACCAAAACAAACACACCCCAAATGTATTACTTGGCTTGAAAAACCCATCTACAAATACAATCAGTCGGGGGCTAGAAAAATCAACTTGCTTACAGCTAGTAGAGCAACTATTGATAAATCAAAATATTTATTTTAGTATCATATGTCCAAATGAGATCATAGCTTCAGACCTTCAGCTGTTTGAATAAAAAAAACCGTTTCCAGAAAGAAAAAGGTTTCCACTGAAACTACAACACGAAAAATGAACGTATTCCCTTGATCAAAAATATTTAAGGTTACAAGGAAGCATGCCAAACCATTCGGAAAGGAAAAATAAAAGATTCAATTAGCTACCAGACCCATTTAAGTTCTACCAGCACAGAAAGTACAAGTTGCCATGTCATTTTTATTGGAACAGAGGTCCAATTGATCATGTTCATGCATTATTGCAGACCTTTATATTAAATAATCCAAACAGTTTGTCCTATTGTGATGATTACTTTTGAATTCCAAATGCATTGTACAAAGAAATATATTTGTGGGCCAAAAATTTTATATACATCCTCTCTGTGAAAAATATGAGGAAAAAATCAGCACTTTCAGCAAATTCAACATGATAAAAGTATGACACACTTGCAGTAACTATAACTCCAACTCACAGTAAGCTCACCAAGTTCCAAGCCTAAACGTCAGAACGTGTTGGGAAATCTAGGCCATGAAGTGCAGGTATGTTGTCTAAATCTTCTTTCGAAAATAATGGTAGGAACCACAATGCTTTCTTTGTTCCAAAAACCTTCAAAGGGGGAAAAATGACACCATCAGAATAAAGATTACAATGGTCTGTCTGGAAGAAAATGTCTTCTATTTGCCACAATAATTAAAATTAATGGCCTTCCTAGTCATTATATTTTCACCAAATTAAACCATTTTTAAAGGATACACAAACATTTGTTCGTTTTGTAAAGTCTTGAGTCATAGATGAGCACCTTCATTGCGGCAATTAAAAATGTATGCCTTTAATTTTAGTTTATTATATATATTTATTGAAGGTAATGACCTAGTTTCTTTGAAGAATACCAGACAAGCTTTTGCCAAGACGTATGCTCCATATAAGCCTTAACACCCAAGGAAATACCCTTCCACAAATTTACGCATATAAACTAAAGATAGAAAAGAGGAATAAGACAGTTTGGCCAGAAGATATCACCTGCTCAAAATTCTTCTTCCTGCCTATGTCGTATTTCCATCTGACTGCTCTTTTCTTCTCGTAAACCTAAAACATTTACAGAATGAAATACAAAACTATCAAATGAGGACTCAATTGCTGACAAGATGCAGAGCCATGTTAATTCCATCATATGTGTAATTAATGCAGTCATTAACATATCAGTAGTGTGAGGTTATTGTTACTTTTGAAACTCAAAATTCAAGGGAATGTCAGTGTCATAAACCATGCAACTCACTGAAAAATGCCATCAACCATACCAATGATGATGTCATGGTATGAGCTAAAAACAATTTTCATCTAAAAATGAGGTTGTGACTCAGCTACCATTGCCTTAAAAAAGAGTCACATTCCATGGCCTTCTCCACGAGAGGAAGATAACATCTCATGGTCAACTTCCAATAATTACAAGGTCTTAAATGAGCAGTTTAGGGTTTAAGGTTTAGGCACACAGAAAGCAGTTAATGTGTCCATTACCTCTATTGATGTGGTGTTGCTCGATACGAGGGATGCATGCATAACTATGAAACAAAGAAGACTCAGAGAAAACGCCAAATTAAGAACTGCATTGAGTTAAACAATCTGTAAGAAACGTGGAAACAACAATGCAGAATCAATACACCATATGAAAATAATCAATTTGCATGGGCAACTTACCAAAAGCCAAAAAAATGATTGCTAGATTGCCAGGAGAAGAGGAATGATTCATGGCTTTGCCAAAGAACTTTATGAAACTAGGAAGCAACACTAGAGTGTCCATTGTTGTCTCCAGAAAGGTATACAACTAGCAGTGGGGAAACAAGTCAGAAGAAAAAGAAATGAGTTAGAAGCCAGTCAAACCCAAACCACTAATACCATTCAGAAGAATATAGGAGCACTTTAAACGCACACATAAATATTAGTGAAAAGCATCTAAAAGTTGAACAGTTAATCTGACATTCAGAACCAACAAGTTTGATTGTTTGAGCCATTTGACCAATGCCCTAAATTTTAGGGCATCATGCACGCAAATAATACTTGTCAGCAAAATGAGGAGTCTACCATTGTTGACACTACTGTATTGCCATACTAATTCACAGAGTAAGGATACTTCTATGTCTACTCACAAACTGTCTAAGTCTATCCCCAGAATAAGAAATAGTCTTGAAGAGTTCTGTTGATTTGTGAAAGGGAAAAACACTTTAGATAAAGCTAGACATATTTCTCATTTTATAACATAAAACATGACAAGAAGACCTACCAAGAAAAGAAGAAAAAACTTGTAGTTGCGTGCTCCAACACAATTTACCACCCAAACACAGTGGTGGTCCATCTTGAGAACACATCTTTGACCTGTAGAATCATAAACGAATAATTACAGAAATGCGGCATTTCATAGCGTCAATTTCAGTGGTTCATGACATTCCAAGTATGCCAATTAACGAATGCTTCTGGCAGTATTGTAAAGATGTGAAACCTAGACAACCATAAAGAGGAACCATTTGATTCCTTTAAACAGGATCGCATTGCTGAGAATATATTCTCATATTAAGATAATTGCAAAGCTAATAATGGATCTGAAGGAGTAGAAACACTCATTGACGTTCAATTAACTTTAAAAAGTTAACTGTACAACTTGCAGCCGATGCATAACATAATTAAAGGTTACCTTCAAACCAACTTTCATAAAAAATTACACAATCAAAGCATTGCAAATAGCTCGTTCAGAAATGTCATATCTTAAATATGGAAAAAAAATCACAACAGAGAAGCAAAAAGAAGGCTTACAAACAGAGCAATGATGGCAACGTGGCGGCTTCCCATTTCGGCACCTATCACAGTAGCCTACCGGTGGTCCTCCATCCAATCCATCTGAAAACGGCCGCGTAGAATCCAGTGTCTCTGGTCCAGCGTAATCAGAAGATCTTGAAGAACTACCAGCCTCCAACAATACTGCCGTCCAATTATCCGGCACAGAACCGGGGTCCCAAAACACAACCATTATATAGCTCCAAACCAACATTACAAGCTACAATAACATAGTTCAACATCAACTTTACTCATCTCACAAAATATACTTTT